AACCAAAAAAAAAACCAAAAAAAAATATATTTTAAAAAAAATATTAAATACGTTTCAATTTCTGTGTGCTGGAAAAAATGATATCTAACGTCAAATTTTTGAATTATCGCTGTTAATACGATAGTTTTCACTGTGCATCAGTGGTTGTATTGAAAAATTCCTGCCTACTTTTCCTGGAAGAAAATCAAACATCTAAGTTAAAGGAGTAGGCACTGTGAGGACCAAATTTAATTTATAAATTTGAACCCCACTAACCAAGTTATTAATAGAGTCAGACAATTGATTTGTGGTACAAAATAGCAGTTTGCTTCCTCCAAATGTTTCTTTCGCTCGCAATAGTAAAATTTGTGGTGCTAAATAGCACTTTGCTTCCGTCAAATGTTTCTTCCCACTCGCAATAGTAAAATTTGTGGTGCTAAATAGCACTTTGCTTCCCTCAAATGTTTCTTTCCACTCGTAATAGGAAAATTTGTGGTGCAAAATAGCATTTTGCTTACGCGAAATGCTATTTGTCGCTTACAAATTTGTATAAAAGGCAGGAAAATTACGGGTTGAGTCCTATTTGTGATTCAACACTGTTTCAGGTAAGTCGTGTGGAAAGCATAAGGAGCTCATTTCAAGTGATCTGGACACATGATGGCACGTTTGGCCATTGCTGACGGTCATCAGGTGGACAGTTGAGGTTGGATGAGCTAGTTGACATCGGTTGAGTTACCTTTCGTTTGGCCTTTGCTGACGAGGGATAGCTCAACTAACCAATCGGATTTCCACTTGGCCATTGCTGATGGAAAGCCGAATGGCGAGTCAACGGCAGTGGATTAGGAGTGTGTTAGGGACAACAGTGGGAGCTCGGACTAGTTGGTCTGGACACATGACGATTCGTCTGGCCATTGCTGACGGTCACCATGTGGATGGACGGACAAGTCTGGGTGGAGTGCTAATGGGTGAGCTACCTCCTGTCTGGCTATAGCTGGCATAAGGCAGCCCAACCAGTCACCTGAACCACCATCTGGCCCAAGCTGATGGAGGAGCGGATGACGAGCCACCAACACTGTTGGGAGACGTGCAGAAGGTACGAGCGTTTGGCAATTGCTGACGAGCGTGCTCAGGCATAGCACCAGTGGCAGGGACCTTCGCCTGGCTATAGCTGGCGAGAGTACGCATCGTTTCACCATTTTACTATTTAATTCAGCCTATTTGTGATTCAACACTGTTTCAGATTACACCTTACCGACTCTCCGGCTGGTCAAGTACACTCAGCAAATACAACATTTCATCAATTCAACGATTGCTATTTGTGATTTAACACTGTTTCAGATTACACCTTACCGACTCTCCGGCTGGTCAAGTACACTCAGCAAATACAACATTTCATCAATTCAACGATTGCTATTTGTGATTCAACACTGTTTCAGATTACACCTTACCGACTCTCCGGCTGGTCAAGTACACTCAGCAAATACCACATTTCATCAATTCAACGATTGCTATTTGTGATTCAACACTGTTAGAATTAAATAATTGTGCAGCTATTATTACTAATTCTTGGACATCGGATGTCACTAGTTTTGTGGCAAAATATGATATACCAGCTTTCAAATGTCTTTATGCGGAGCTAACGGAATGTTTAACCAAGATTTTTAATATATCAATCATATCATCAGCGTTTAGTTATTTATATAAAGTGATACAAAAACATTATTTGTGTTATAATCTAGTATGTTTTGCATTAGTTTAAGCAATCTTAAATAATGAAATGTAAACAAAATTTAGTTAAATATAAACTGTCAATCTTGTCGGTTGTATTTACTTCAGTTGGCGACGAGGATAAAAATCTGCAATTATTCAATCGCTTTCACGCTTATTTCGTACCGTTCAATTTTAAATACAATCATGCCGGGCGAAAGTGAAATTTATAAGCAATTGCTTAAAGAACAACAAGAGTTCTCAAAAAATTTACTGAAACAACAACGTGAGTGGATGGACTCAATGTTTCAAAAACAAGGTGCTGCTGGTGTATCTGAAAGAAATAACAACATTGTTCCAGTATTTCACAAATTTTCGAAAGAACAGCAAACCTGGAAATCGTACTTAGAACAACTTAACCAACATTTTTTAGCATATTCAGTTCAGTGCAGTGAAAAACAAAAATCATTTTTCTTGTCTTGGATTGGCACAGAAAATTTTGAGCTGCTAAAAAATCTTTTCGGTAACACGAAAGTACAAGAACAATCTTTCGAAAATTTAACGGAAAAACTAACGGATCATTTCCAGTCGAAACGACATGTGGTCGCTGCACGTTACGATTTTTTCAAAAGGGAAATGAAGCCACATCAATCATACAGAGAGTGGGTAGCCGATCTCCGCGGATTGGCAAGAGAGTGTAACTTTTCGTGCTCAGCCCAGAATTGTTTACACAATTTCGTGGATGATATGATTCGTGACCAAATTATTATACGTACACCTCACGATGCTGTGCGCACGGCTGCGTTCCAAAAGCCCCAGCCAACACTTGCTGATGTTTTGCAGATTGCAGAATTGTACGAAACAACCACTAAATCGGTGGCAACAATTAAAGAACAAACGATCGAAAACTCAATGCCTGTTAATTCAGTTGGTACAATTATAAAAAAACCGGGTGTTTTCAACAATAACAATAATAAAGTAAAATTCAAATCATGTTCTGGCTGTGGAAACTCTCATGCAAGAGAAAACTGTAAATTTAGAAATGCTGTATGCAATAGATGTAGCAAAATTGGACATATTGCGCCAGTGTGCATGTCAAAACAAAACAAGAACAACAAACGTAATTCAGGTGATGAAAACAAGAAGAAAGATTACCGTCATAAAAGTCACAACATTGGTACTGTTGAAACAATTAACAGTTTAACAGGTATTGTAAAAACTGAAAGCAATAAGAATTACATTGACTTGGAAATTTGTAATAAAATTGTGTCTTTCCAAATGGATTCTGGTGCAACAGTTTCTCTAATAAATAAGCGAACATTCAAAATTCTAAATTGCCCAAAGTTGCGAAATTGTACAAAAACCTTATTTGGTTTTGGCAAAAATGAAATTCCAGTGCTTGGTGAACTTTGCGTAGATATCAAATGTGGCGGAAAAGAAAGGGAAGTGGTAATCGTTGTCGTGGATGTCGAAAACTGTAACAATTTATTCGGTTTCGATTTATTTAAAGAATTCGGGTTTGAGATTCAACAAATTTGTAACATTACTGAAAGTGAATCACACAGAATTAGCGAGCTGTGTAAGAAATATGGTGATATTTTTGAACCAGCTCTTGGCACAATAAAAAACTTTAAGGTCAGTATTTTTTTAAAGCCAAATGCACATCCGAAATTTTACAAAAGCCGACAAATTCCATTTTCGCAAATGTCACTTTTCAAGAAAGTCGATCGATTGACAAATGCGGGTATTTGGAAACCTGTGAAGTTTTCCCAATGGGCTTCGCCTATTGTACTAGCGCCAAAAGCTGATGGTTCCATAAGAATTTGTGGGGATTTTAAACAAGCAGTCAATGCGCAAATTGACATTGAACAATATCCTTTGCCCATACGCGAAAGTCTTTTCCATAAAATTAATTGCGGTCAACATTTTACAAAAATCGACCTTAAGGATGCGTATTTACAAATGGAACTCGACGATGAAGCAAAAACAATAATGGTTGTCAACAGTCCACTTGGGTTATTCCAATACCAACGTTTACCGTTTGGAATTGCAAGCGCTCCAGCTATATTCCAAAGATATCTTGAGCAGTTACTTCAAGGCGTAGAAGGTTGCGGAAATTATCTCGATGACATTATCATCTCCGCACCTACATTTCAACAACACATCAGCCGCCTAGAACAAGTACTTCGTATTTTGCAACAAAATGGTATCAGGTGCAAGCAAGAAAAATGTTTCTTTCTGCGAGATAAAATCGAATATCTCGGGCGTCAAATTAGTGCAAAAGGTATATTGCCAGATGAGTCAGGACTAAAAGCAGTCAAAAACCTGCAGCCGCCTAAAGATCTAAAGCAAGCAGAAGCATTCATGGGTAAGGTAAACTATTACCATAATTTTATACCTAATTTTTCGCAATTAT